CTGCTGTATCGGACATGTATCAGTTGCTGCCTGCCTGCTGCTGCTGCTGTACCGGACATGTATCAGTTGCTGCCTGCCTGCTGCTGCTGCTGTATCGGACATGTATCAGTTGCTGCCTGCCTGCTGCTGCTGCTGTATCGGACATGTATCAGTTGCTGCCTGCCTGCTGCTGCTGCTGTACCGGACATGTATCAGTTGCTGCCTGCCTGCTGCTGTACCGGACATGTATCAGTTGCTGCCTGCCTGCTGCTGCTGCTGTATCGGACATGTATCAGTTGCTGCCTGCCTGCTGCTGCTGCTGTATCGGACATGTATCAGTTGCTGCCTGCCTGCTGCTGCTGCTGTACCGGACATGTATCAGTTGCTGCCTGCTGCCTGCTGCTGCTGCTGTACCGGACATGTATCAGTTGCTGCCTGCCTGCTGCTGTACCGGACATGTATCAGTTGCTGCCTGCTGCCTGCTGCTGCTGCTGTACCGGACATGTATCAGTTGCTGCCTGCCTGCTGCTGCTGCTGTACCGGACATGTATCAGTTGAGCTCTCGGAGAGAGAAGCTGCCCCTCGAGGTCGTTTTTCCCTACGTTTACGCTGTATAATTGTTTAATTGTCTTTATGGGTTACCTCTAACTTGCCTATTATGGCTCTACCCTTGGTGTGTTTGCTCGCCCAGGGCGCCCCTTGTGTGCTCAGCCCCCGCTCATTATTTGACAAGACTGAATTGTGAAGTGCGTTTTATCTAACCAAAACCGTTCGAACCTCCTTAGTCCGAGGAAGCGTCATTTTTACGGTACTTTTAATTTCACTTGAGCCTCGGAATTTTGACGGTGTGGTGGATTGTGTGAAGACTGCTGTACATTGTGTGGAGGTGTTTTCGCGGCTTTTCCTTTTGTTGTGGGTCCTGTATAAGTTGTTCTACTCCCCGCGTCTGGCCTGAGGTCAGGCTTGACTTGTGATAACTTGGTCCAACAGGCTGTTGCTTGCAGCTGTCCGTAGGCCCACGTATTCACCACAGACCGGTTGGTTCGGTGCGTCCTGCAAGAACTTATCTAAATGCTTTTTAAAGACTGCCACCTTTGATGCCTAGCTCAGGCAGCAGCTAGTTAGTCCTTTCATCGTGGAGTTCAGATGTCGCACTTGAAATTATTTGTGTTCATCAGAGTCTTGCTCGTCAGATGGTGTGCGTGTTGGATGATTTTTGGATGGGGGTGTTTCTGGGAATGGGGAGGGGGGGGGGTGTCTGGGTATTGGAGATTTCTGGACGTGTACTCACCTATTTGTGCTTGCAGGGGTTGAGCTTTGGCTCTCTGGTCTTTTGTTTGGGGTTTCTGGGGATGAAGGGTTGTGCTTGGTAAGTACAAGGCTGGGTTTGGAAGCCCTCCTGATACAGGCATCAGTGAGTCGTTTCATCTCTGAATTAAGCCTCAGGGATGGTGATGTTGCCAATCTACACTACTCTATGGATCTACACTACTCATGGCTCTACAGGCCAAGAGTAATGGCACTAGGGTTCCTGATCCATGCCAGCTTAAACATATGCGATACAGTACGGCTGTATCCTGTGTTGTGACCCTGATTGTGTAGGCTATCGTCGCCTGCAACCATTTCCTTTTCCAGCTATTTTGAGTGTTATGTAATGACCCTTTATCTGTTATCTGACTCTTTATCTGACCCTTTATCTGTTATCTGACTCTTTATGACTGTTTTCTAGTTACATTTACCCTTATATGCAGACGAGGAGTCACAATAACGTGGCTGAAATATGTTGACCAGACCACACACTAGAATGGTCCAGGACGACGACGTTTCGGTCCGTCCTGGACCATTCTCAAGTCGAATGTGTCTTTACCTTTAAAGCTCTGCTGTGAGTTTGCTTCAACTGCCTCACTTCTGATTTTGAACAGTGCATCATTTCTATTGTATCGGTACACCTCTACTTCTAACTTTTTCTCAAGCTGTGTGCTGCTTCTTGTCCAGTATTGACGCCACGGGGTCAGGAAGGGCAACATGGGTTTAGAGAGAAATAGTCATGCTTGGCAAATGTTTATAAAGTTCTATGACAAGGTCGTGTCTTAAAAGTGTCAACAAACCACGTGATACAGTTCCTCGTGAAGGGCTGATGCACAAGATCACGAGGGGCTACTAGGGGGGGGGGGGAACAATGAAGTAAGAGAATAGTTGAAGATGGCCGGTGTGGGTCGGTGGTGGTGAGGGGGAGCTGGAGGGATGTGACAAGTGGAGTCCACCGAGGCTCCGGCCTGTGACCATTACTGTTCCTAATTTATGTAAATAATCTAGCAGCCTGGTTGACCAGTCCAGCAACCAGGAGGCCTGGTCGGGGACCAGGTTGCGGGGCCGTTAGTCCCCGGAAGCTACACAATGTAGCTACAAGGCAGGTAATTAGATCGTGCATATTAATATGCGTCTAATTACGTGCATATTAATATTTGCACGTGACGTAAAACTAACGAGGAATTTAAAATAAGTGGAAGACTACAACTACAGGAAAATCTAAAACTCCATAAGTGAGCAGACAAATGGTTGTTAGAGTTCAACCCATCAAGTATAAGGCAATAAAGATGGGAAAGAGAGATAGGAGACGACAATTTTTCTACATAATACGTAGGTAACTACAGGAATTGGAAAGTAAAAAATATTTGTTAGAGGATATGATAATAACACTAACACCAGACACACACACAACAAAATAACATCAGCAGCATATGGAAACCGGGCAAACATTTAAATGACATTTAAAGGCCTAAATGAAGACACTTTCAAGACAGTCTATACTGCTTTTGTGAAGTCAGTTCTGGAATAAGCATCACTGGCGTGAAATCCTAAGCACGTGAAATTACTTTGCAAAAAAGAGCAGAGATTTGCAGCAAGACTAGTACTAAGCTTTGAGAACAACTGGGTTAAATGTACGAAATCTCACCACTCTAGGGGTGAGAACGACAGCAGGGTCGTGATCACAACATACAAGATACCGTGGAGAATAGCCTAGGTGGACAAGAACAGTCTCTTCCAATCAAGAGAAAGACACAAGGACACAGGTGGATGGAAGCAGGAATCGTAAATGACTCTAAAATGTGTTAAGAAATACTGGTAATCTGTACAGCAGGTCAACAAGTGGCGTGCACGGAAAGAAGTTATAGAAGCCACCTCCATCCACACATTTAAACCAGATTCGACAAAGAATTTGAACGTCAGAATAATTAAACTGTTACGTAACAGGTACAGCAAGGCTCATATCCCCGTAGACACTAATAGGTAGTTATTGATAGACAAGTACCACCACCATACCACAACCACAACTACCACCACTACCACCGGCGCCGCCACCACCACCAGAACAACACCTCAGAAGCACGCCCTACGGCCACAACAACACTCACCTGAATTTCAAGTTGGTATGGACACCTTTTTTTGTGCTCGCATCACCTCCACTACGCCCGCCTGCTCTCTACGCCCGCCTGCTCTCTACGCCCGCCTGCCCTCTACGCCCGCCTGCTCTCTACGCCCGCTTGCCCTCTACGCCCGCCTGCTCTCTACGCCCGCCTGCCCTCTACGCCCGCCTGCTCTCTACGCCCGCCTGCCCTCTACGCCCGCCTGCCCTCTACGCTTACCTGCCCTCTACGCCCGCCTGTCCTCTACGCCCACCTGCCCTCTACGCTTACCTGCCCTCTACGCCCGCCTGCCCTCTACGCCCGCCTGCCCTCTACGCCCGCCTGCCCTCTACGCCCGCCTGCCCTCTACGCTTACCTGCCCTCTACGCCCGCCTGTCCTCTACGCCCACCTGCCCTCTACGCTTACCTGCCCTCTACGCCCGCCTGCCCTCTACGCCCGCCTGCCCTCTACGCCCGCCTGCCCTCTACGCCCGCCTGCCCTCTACGCCCGCCTGCCCTCTACGCCCGCCTGCCCTCTACGTCCGCCTGCCCTCTACGCCCGCCTGCCCTCTACGTCCGCCTGCCCTCTACGCCCGCCTGCCCTCTACGCCCGCCTGCCCTCTACGCCCGCCTGCCCTCTACGCCCGCCTGCCCTCTACGCCCGCCTGCCCTCTACGCCCGCCTGCCCTCTACGCCCGCCTGCCCTCTACGCCCGCCTGCCCTCTACGCCCGCCTGCCCTCTACGCCCGCCTGCCCTCTACGTCCGCCTGCCCTCTACGCCCGCCTGCCCTCTACGCCCGCCTGCCCTCTACGTCCGCCTGCCCTCTACGTCCGCCTGCCCTCTACGCCCGCCTGCCCTCTACGCTTACCTGCCCTCTACGCCCACCAACACCAGCCAGGGACTCAGCCCCACACACATTAACAGTCGCCGCATCGCCAGTACCACAATCTTCCCCCCATCCAGTCTCTTGCACTCCTCACTGGCACTATAACTGCCAGGGTCTTCACCTCTACCACCACTACCAGTACTACCACCACCACCACCTCTCGCCACCAGCATCCATCTCCCTCACCACCACTACCACCATCTTCATTTCAATCACCAACATCCATTAACTTCTATAGTGGCTAGCACCTTCACCCGCTCGCCACGAGAACGATCTGGGTTCGAGGCCTGGGTAGGGAGGATCGAATGGGCACCTTTCCTTCACTATTCGTCCATGTGCCACCCAACAGCACTTAAGGCCCTGGATGTAAACCGCTTAGTTGATCGTGTTCCGGGGAAGAGCCTAAAATTTTTAAGTTGTTGCTGGATATCTGGTACACAATCCTCTCCTTAAGGAACACCAACACCACATTCACCATCAATATGCACCACTATAGTCACCATCTTCCCCCTCCTCACCATCCGTGCATCATACCAACACAATCGCATCCCACCACCATATCAACCATTCTCTCTATCCTCCTCCTCCCCACCACCAGCCCTCTAACTCTCCGCTGCTCCTTATCCTCCCTCCCAACATCCCCCCCCCCAACATCCCCCCCCCCCATCCCTCCCTCCCTCCCACTCTCCCTCCCTCCCTCCACACTCTCCGCGCACTCGCACACCCCTCAGCCGGCACTGACGAGGCATCAGGCCAGAGACTCACACTCACTCCCGCACCTCCAAGTCTCCTCCTCGAATTGTCCCCAGTTCCCCCTTCTCTACCGCCCCCTAGCCTCGTCCCGACATCCCTACGTTGCCTATCCCTGCCACCGGGATAGTAGGAGGAGGGAGCTAGCGAGGTAAAGGGTTGTGGAAGGGAGATAAGACGTGAGGGAAGGCTGAGTGCAGGCCCAAGACGGAGAGGGAGAGAGCCGCGCGCTTCTTGAAGGAGTGGTCGATCGTCCGGAGTCATCGGTACACACACACACACACACACACACACACACGCACATGCACACGCATACACACACAACCACGCTCTGCTGCCGTCCTGGCGTGTCTACATGGGATTATCCAGGCAGCTGCTTAGTTTGTGTGTGTATGTATGTATGTATGTGTGTGTGTGTGTGTGTGTGTGTGTGTGTGTGTGTGTGTGTGTGCGCGTGCGTGCGCTGACAGGTGCACTGTGTGTGTGTTTGTTTATGACCTGGAGTGGAGGATGTGGCCAGGCGTCACTCCGGTACTCCGACGGTGTAGCCAAGTTTTGACAACTGTGAACGATGGTTTGGAAACGTTCGCTGGGTGAACGGTGCTGTCTCGAGGACACGTGGTGAACAGTGTTATGTGTCCGGACACGTGGTGAACAGTGTTATGTGTCAGGACACGTGGTGAACAGTGTTGTGTGTCAGGACACGTGGTGAACAGTGTTATGTGTCAGGACACGTGGTGAACAGTGTTGTGTGTCCGGACACGTGGTGAACAGTGTTGTGTGTCAGGACACGTGGTGAACAGTGTTGTGTGTCCGGACACGTGGTGAACAGTGCTATGTCTGGACACGTGGTGAACAGTGTTATGTGTCAGGACACGTGGTGAACAGTGTTATGTGTCCGGACACGTAGTGAACAGTGTTATGTGTCAGGACACGTGGTGAACAGTGTTATGTGTCAGGACACGTGGTGAACAGTGTTGTGTGTCCGGACACGTAGTGAACAGTGTTATGTGTCCGGACACGTAGTGAACAGTGTTATGTGTCCGGACACGTGGTGAACAGTGTTATGTGTCAGGACACGTGGTGAACAGTGTTGTGTGTCCGGACACGTGGTGAACAGTGTTATGTGTCAGGACACGTGGTGAACAGTGTTGTGTCCGGACACGTGGTGAACAGTGTTATGTGTCCGGACACGTGGTGAACAGTGTTGTGTGTCAGGACACGTGGTGAACAGTGTTGTGTGTCCGGACACGTGGTGAACAGTGTTATGTGTCATTACACGTAGTGAATGGTGTCGTGTGTCCGGACACGTGGTGGCACGTGCGTACACCGGCCTCACGCACCGGAGCACACACACACACCTGTATAATGAAGGTTGTGCGTTGTTGCTCAGTGACTGTGTATACCCCCGACACCACTACTGTTGCTCAGTGACTGTGTATACCCCCGACACCACTACTGTGATGATTATAATACAAGTATTGACTTGCCTTAACAATAGTACATTGATGTGCCTTAAAATGTGGTCACAGGGAACACTAGTAGGCCTACTGTGTCGGCCTATTGTGTCGGCCTATTGTGTCGGCCTACTGTGTCGCGACACCTTTATATAAATGTGTTTGTGCAGCCCTTTGTTAGAACTTGACAAGCTATAGTCTTCAGTGAAGGTACTCGGCAGTTTATTGCACGCCTCTACAGCATTGTTGCTGTGTCTACGTGTAGCCGGTACAGCTGCGTTATCTGAGTGAAAAGTAACAGATGCGCGTTCCTGGCGTTGCTATAGATCACCAACGACAGGTGTTGACGGAAGCTGGTCAGGTGTTATATTGCACGCGACAACATATACTTACCTATAGCGTACATGTAGTCAGTGTCGAGAGATTGCTTTCCAAGCCCCGACGGAGGCACGGCAGAAGGGATTTTGTGAGTGTTATAAAACGATAAGAAAAATATGAAATGCTTTACGTAAGCGGCGTTGGACCTGGTCCCCGGCTCCAAAGTGCGTATCCCGGTGAGGTACGACATGCGTACGGTCACATACGCTCTTCCCACACTGATGCGTGAGTGTGTGTTCATAGAGATGGTGAGTACACAGCCACGAGGAACCCCACCCGGTGTTGCTGGCAGCTCAGGCAAGCACATATCAAGGGGAAAAACGATTCTCATTTGACTACCGGCGTGAATAACTCGAGCGTGGATGTCCACAAGTGTGAGGAGTGGACGCAGATGGGTGGAGGGTGGGCGCTGCCGGGCGGCCCACCAGACTACTATAAGCAAGGGTGGGTGGAGGGTGGGCGCTGCCGGGAGGCCCACCAGACTACTATAAGCAAGGGTGGGTGGAGGGTGGGCGCTGCCGGGCGGCCCACCAGACTACTATAAGCAAGGGTGGGTGGAGGGTGGGCGCTGCCGGGAGGCCCACCAGACCACTCCGACGACCTGCTAGCATTGAGTGGTGGCGCCGCCCCTACAGTTGCCGGGGAGGCTTATCCAGCCACTCTCTTTCCGCCTGCCCTACCTACACCAGCCCTCGTCCTCCCCTACCTACACCAGCCCTCCTCCTCCCTACCTACACCAGCCCTCGCCCTCCCCTACCTACACCAGCCCTCGTCCTCCCCTACCTACACCAGCCCTCGTCCTCCCCTACCTACACCAGCCCTCGTCCTCCCCTACCTACACCAGCCCTCGTCCTCCCCTACCTACACCAGCCCTCGTCCTCCCCTACCTACACCAGCCCTCGTCCTCCCCTACCTACACCAGCCCTCGCCCTCCCCTACCTACACCAGCCCTCGCCCTCCCCTACCTACACCAGCCCTCGTCCTCCCCTACCTACACCAGCCCTCGTCCTCCCCTACCTACACCAGCCCTCGCCCTCCCCTACCTACACCAGCCCTCGCCCTCCCCTACCTACACCAGCCCTCGTCCTCCCCTACCTACACCAGCCCTCGTCCTCCCCTACCTACACCAGCCCTCGTCCTCCCCTACCTACACCAGCCCTCGTCCTCCCCTACCTACACCAGCCCTCGCCCTCCCCTACCTACACCAGCCCTCGCCCTCCCCTACCTACACCAGCCCTCGCCCTCCCCTACCTACACCAGCCCTCGCCCTCCCCTACCTACACCAGCCCTCGCCCTCCCCTACCTACACCAGCCCTCGCCCTCCCCTACCTACACCAGCCCTCGCCCTCCCCTACCTACACCAGCCCACATACGCCTCCCTCTCACATACACACACAGGAATGTTACTTTAAGAACAATGTTCCCTGGCCACAGGACTATTAGTGATGCGTAAATGTTGCGTCTACGGCGACACGCAGACCGCCACTGGGAACCTGCGGGAACACACTCTCGCCTAAACACAAGGACGACGCAAGACAAAAGGAGCCCAGAGTACCGAGGGCACAAGTAGCCTGCGGGACGAGGAGAGAGAGACTTGGGTCACATTCCTGGAAGTGGCAGCGTGAGTGTGTGTGTGTGTGTGTGTGTGTGTGTGTGTGTGTGTGTGTGTGTGTGTGTGTGTGTGTGTGTGTGTGTGTGTGTGTGTGAGGGTGTTTACCTATCTGTGCTTCCAGGAGCGACCTGAGCGAGGGACCTCCTTGTCTTTTCAACCCTCGGTTGTCTAGTAAACAGAATGTGTGTGTGTGTGTGTGTGTGTGTGTGTGTGTGTGTGTGTGTGTGTGTGTCAAGGAGTTGTCTCAAGTGCAGCTGAGTGCAGGCGGGAGAGTGGGGGGGGGGGGTTGCCTACGCGAGAATGTTGGGTGGGTGGTTGGTGAGGTTGCCACTACGGGCTCATCAGTGTGTGTGTTTATGTGAGTACTCGCCTATTTGTGTGTGTGTTTGTGTTTATAATGCGCTTCCTCGTGCCCGCACCTTACCATACCCACATGAGCATCCTCGTCTCCCATCCCGCCCACCAACCACCACCACAACCCCCCCCCCCCCTACACACACACATAAGTATCCTCCATCTTCCCCCTTCACTTACTTCCATTTCTACAACCACTAGCAACCACCTCCATACCCCCGCCAACCAGCATCCCCCACCACACTTACGCCTTACCTGCCTCATCCTCCCTTCCCCGCATACCATCCCTCAAATGACGAACTTACTTTCCCACCTTCTCCTTCTGAACCTCGATCGCCACAACGGAAAGGGGACATACAGGAGAGAGAGAAATAGGAGGGGAAAAGCTCCGGAATATACAGAAGAGGAGCCCTCTAGCCTAGCTACATGCGGCGTGTGGCAACTGTGGTATAGTTTTCAAGGCTGGTGGGAGTGCAGTGGAGTGGAGTGCGTTGGCCAGCCTGTTTGTGGGGGGGCCGGTGGGGGGTGTGGGCCACGGGGCGGCCGTTTTGGCTTGGTCGATATATCGCGTTGTGTTCACCTTATCTAATACGCCGCCGCATGATTGCTGCCGCTACCACTGTGGTGGTGGTAGTGCTGTGGTGGTGGTGGTGGTAGGCTGGTGGTTATGGTAGTGTTCGTCGCTGCTTCCTCAGTACTAGTGTAGTAGTAGGCCTGTGGTTAATTTTTTTTTTAATTTTGCCCCGAGGGGCGAGTTTATTGGGCCCTGTGGTTGTTGTTGAAGTGGTTGTGGAATTGATGGGTTTGGTGGGTAACGAAATCTTTTAGTGGTCTCCATGCCCATCCTGTGAGTGGTAGTGGTCTCCATACCCATCCTGTGAGCGGTAGTGGAACCCCCATACCCATCCTGTGAGTGGTAGTGGTCCCAATACCCATCCTGTGAGTGGTAGTGGTCCCAATACCCATCCTGTGAGTGGTAGTGGTCCCCCCCCCATACCCATCCTGTGAGTGGTAGTGGTCTCCATGCCCATCCTGTGAGTGGTAGTGGTCCCCCCCATACCCATCCTGTGAGTGGTAGTGGTCCCCCCCCCATACCCATCCTGTGAGTGGTAGTGGTCCCCCCCCCCCATACCCATCCTGTGAGTGGTAGTGCAAAAGGCTACAGATGCACATATCGGGATTCAGTTCCTGAGCCCGTTATTCCTTTAGCTAAGTTACAGCACTGATGATCTAGTCACCAAGTTTGATAAAATACACTTCAACAGAATTTAGCAATTTTGGTTAGTTGTCGCCTGGGAGAGGGAGCAGTGTTTTGGCGGCCATAGTAGATGAGCCAGCTGCAGCTGGTAT